TCTGTCTTTTGAAATAGAGTACACTGTGTGTACATGCTGATTAAGAAGAAAAGAACATTTTGCGTGTCAGCTATTTCCTGTGTTTATGAACTTTAGCACTGTGAAACTGATTTAGAGGAAGTTGGATGGATGTGAGGGCGATCTGGCTGCAACATCTGTCACCCCATTGATTCCCAGGGTTGATTTGGCTGCTCTGGCTGACTAGGCAGGTGTCCACTTCCTCCCTCATTGCTCCATGTGTGTCCCTTCTGAAGCTGTATGCTAGGTGGAAGAGGACAACCATCCCAGGTCGGGTGTACGATTTGTAGGAGGTTTATGGGTAATTCATATTGGAAGAAATATCTCCTATGTGAGATCATTTAAAGGGACACAGAGGAAGACGAGAGGAGCTCATCTCTCAAATGGAATTCACAGACACAGTAAATGAAGAGCTCTAAGAAGTACAATCAGATTGGGGTAATAGCTAAGCCCCGGGTTCTAGTGCCATGTTAGGTACAAAGCCAGACAGGGGACCTTGGGCCAGTAAGTCTCAGCCCTAGGAAGAAGGCAAACCACTTTGGAATTTTGCTAAGAAATCAGCAGGGATTTATACAGACAGCCATCAGGATTCACACTGATTTGAAGGCACACACATAGACAAGAAGACAAACAGCTTTGTTCAGCCTAATTCTACCCTCCCTACCCTACCTCCCAGAATTGTCAGTATAGCTAGAGCTGGGTGGATGTTCTGGCCTTATAGATTGAATGCATCTGAAAGGTATTACATAAGTACCATGAGATATTGCCAGTTGAAAGATTCCTTCCCTACTTGTATGTTGGAAACCAATTTGTTCAAGCTTTGATTATTCCTGAGAAGTCTCCATTACCTTGTTTTGTTGCTGGTACAGTACTGTACTATACTTTGGTATTATTGCATACAGGCGGAGGCAGACTATTTCCATGTCATTGATAATATAATTGTTGGTTGTGTGCATATAATCACAAGTTATGAGAGTCTGTAAATTGGACTTAAGTTCATGCCAAGCTGTGGAGATTTAAATGTGCTCTCCCTACTTACCAGATTTGGGGCCTGAACAATTGTGATTGTATTTCCCTGTTAAGATATATGATTGCTTAATGTGTTGATATTGTCTGAAACTTGATGATGTATTAGTTGAACTGAGGGATTTCTTGTAGAACTAGGATTCAAGTTATTCGACTTAATCAGCTTATTTTATTTTAGCCTTATTTTAGCTTACAAAATCTTGTACCATCAAAGCAGTTAAGCTTACAGCAACTAGAGAAGCTGTGAGATCAGAAAATTGTTTCATATCCTCTATAGCAGGGGTGTCAAACTGCCAGCCCGTGTCGTGATACGTCACGTCACGTGATGTTGAGAGTTTGACACTCCTACTCTATAGAGATAGAGGTCCTTCAGGTTTTAAACTAGGCAAGTGACTTGCATGAATTAGATTGTGTTAAGGAAGTGAAAAACTAATTATATAAAGAGGCATAAATTAAGGGACCAAAAAAGACAGATTACAAGTTGATAATCCTCATGGCATGTCTGATAGTTTCCTACATCTGCTGTTATTTCTTGTTACATACAGTAAATCTAGAACCCATTGCTAGGAGTCTGCCATTGTTATCCAGTTAAAAACAGATGGCAGATAGATAAAACTTGAGGAAGGCCCTAGCCTAGTGACTCTGTTCAAAGATAGGAGCACTATTTTAGGCAGAAAGGGCCATGCCCAAAAGAGAAATGATGAGTTAGGAAATGTGTAGGATTCTTGTAGAACTGCAAAGAGATGTTTAAAATCCTAGTGGGATAAACCACGGAAGATGATTTTCAGACTGTTCTTATGGGGCTCAGAGAATCTGATAAAGGAAGAAGAAAAATGAAACAAGAATCATCTCCTGGAAGACAGTGTGAATATTAAGCAGAAATATTCAGAACCCCAGTTCCACTGATTTTTGTTTTTAATGACAGACCAAGATTTTGTTGTGCTATGCTCCATATATGTCATTTGAAATAGTAATTATTAGCATCTCTGTCTAAAGCAAATCCCACCAAATTCATTAGACGTGACTTTCAAGTAAATATGTACGTATAGGATTACAGTGTAAAAGATATCCTAATGATAGATCAGGCTTCCTTTACACCAGACATGTCAAACCCGCGACGTCACGAGACGTATCGGGACAGTTTTGCCATTGCCGGCAATGGGGTGGGCGTGGCTTCCAGATGATGCATCCGGCCTGCGGGCCGGCAGTTTGACACCCCTGCTTTACAAAAATTAATCGGGCTTGTTTTTACCTGAGGCATGCTTCAGTTATCCTGTTTTGAACTATTATTATTTGTTTCATCAGAACTGTTAATGCAGAAAAATCAGAATTTAATGAAGACCAAGCAACATGTTGTCAAATTTCTATCAGGAAGAGACAATTTGGGCATGGCAAAGAGGAAGATCAGGAATGGCTAATTTTGTGTTCTAATGAGGTGAGTTCAGAGATCAAAATCAAACATGCATCTTTTCATTAAGATATTCCATTATTTTAGGATAAGGAGGAAGGAACTGAATGATAATGTTGCCCAACTCGGTATGTCTCATTCCATTCATCCCATGGAACTGCAAGAATCTGAATTTCTTTAAGGACAGAGAGGAAAGAACTAGATAGAACTGCAATTACCAGCTGCCATGATAGGCTCCAAGATTTTCTTTAAGAACCTTTCAATATTTATCTTGTGGGACTGCTTTTCAGTGCCAGATTTCTTTTCAATGGGCTGTTTGTTTCAACTTGGTAATCATGTGGGAAGAAAAAAAATATTTCCTAGTTAATATAGACTGCATTGTTCCACAAACCATTGGAGTATTTGAATAGCAGCTTCATGCTGGCAATTATGAATGACTTGTTTGGTTCTTAAATGTGTTAGTAAACCATTATGAACATCTCGCGAAAGGCATGAGCTTTGAATTAATAAGCTTTACATTTTTATAATTAAATGAAAATAAAAATAATTATCTCCAGAATAAATTTTGATGCAGAGGGAGCTTTATATTTTATGAGGTGGGTAGCCGAGGTCCTTCTGAAGCAAACCAAGTCCCTCCTTTAGATTCTCTGGCTTCCTCTTGATTATTTTGACAGCTTACAGTAAACAAGAGATTGCCATTCCTCATGGTGTGAATAATGTTTGAAACGCCTAAGAAGCATGTGTGAGCTCTTCCACATGCCAACACAAAGAAACAACTGCTTTCCCTCTCAGTTGTGGTTATCATCCATTTTATCTTTAATTTTATTCAGGTATTTTTGTGAAGAATAAAACTTGAGGGGAGGGGGGGAGGATCTCTTGCACAGAAGCTGCTTTGTTTTCATAAGCTTGATTTGCCAGATCCACATTATGCATCTTGTATGTAAAGAATAATCACGTGAGATGGTTTGTCAGTTCTGTGAAGCAGGAGTACAGTGGGCAGGCATGTACCACTTCGTTTGTTGTTATGTTTATTTGCAAGAGATGAATAGGCATTGACATTTTCAACTAAGATAGCAATATATAGGCAGTTCCTAGTCAAGGTTCTCTTATAAAACTATAACAAAATCCTTTAGAAATTGGAAAAAGTAAAATTTTAAATAAATTTTAATTACTTCATGAGACTCGTTTTTCTGATGCTTCTGTTTTTCTGAGATTAGCAGGCAGGATTGATTAGTATCATTCTTTTATCTCTTACCGCTTCTTGCCTTTTCAATTATACTACTTTATCCCTTAATTTTTATATCTAATTAATGAAATGCATACTTTTGCATATATATGTATATATATTGTGCACATATACACATATAACCACATGCTTAAAATGACAGGGCAGTTTACAAAAACCAGGCAGGGTTGGAGCCATCCAGATCCTGAGGAAAGGCTGTCCATGAGATAGGCACAGCAGCCAAAAAGTCATGTTGCCTGGGTTTCATAGGATGATATTATTTAAGGGATGGGACTTGGTGATATCTAATAACTAGCTTGGCAAGACATCCATACTTTTCCAAGCTTTCTACTCATCTTTTACTACGATGAAGATAAAGCTGAAATATTGTTGACTTGTCAAGACTTCTCATTGAGATTCACGCCCAAGCAGATAATTTAATCTGAGTCTCACAAATATCCTTGCAGTAACAGGAAGGAATGTTCCATATGATGATCCTCACAATGGTTTGGCTTTCAGTATCTGACAGGTTATTACTGGGCACTGTTTGATGGCCATGGTGGTTCAGAAGCTTCAATTCTGGCCTCCAATTACCTGCATTGTTGCATCAAGCAGAAACTAGAGGATGTGATAGAAGGCATCACTGAAGATAATCCTCCAATGCACCTCAGTGGTCAATGCATTTGCCAGAATGACCCACTGTTTGTGGAAGAGAAGAAAATTCAGCAGGAAAATGTGGTCATTGGAGCTTTGGAGAGTGCCTTCCAGGAATGTGTGAGTTCTCCTATTTTCTTTTTTATTATAGTCCAAGAATTGAATTACATTGTATACTGTGGGAAAGGAACAAATCATGGAATGCAAATGATGTTGTAACACAAACATATTTGCAACCAACTTTAGGACATAGCTATGAGAGAGTGCAGTTTACACTATGTGTCATTGCAGTTTGTATCAGTCATATTTTATAGATGGCTGATGGAGTTAATTTTACTGTTTCTGATTCTGGCAGCACAGTTGCTAGATCAGGATAAAACAAACCATGTTTTCCTGGTGGCTTGTATTTCAGTTCCCAACTATCAAATCAGTATGGCCGATGGTAAGGAATTGTGAATACTTTTTGGTTGTCTATCTTTGGCCTACATTTTTTCTGTTTGTTCTATATTGTGTTATCAGTTCTTATACCAATAAGGAAATGTCTTGTGCACAGTGATATAATAAACTTCTGTACTTACAGTTTACAATTTAGCATACTTGAAAGATTAACTGGCAATTACTTGTTTTCATCAACCATCAGTAGGGAACAATGGTGATGAAATTAGGCTTCAGTGCTGGGAAATCTGATATCTGCCTTACATCATTAAATACTGTTTTTACCAACAGGATAAAATGATAGGCCAAGAGATCAACGCAAGCAACCAATCAGCAGGCTGCACTGCACTAGTTGCTCTTTATCTGCAGGGAAGGCTCTATGTGGCAAATGCAGGTGATAGCAGGTGAGTTCAAAACCCAGAAGGTCATTGGATAAGTTCCAGCATGTTCCTTTAATATGGGTATGGAAGACATTTAGCACTTTATTTTAGTCAAATACATTTTCTACAGTTATCTAAATATCTACATTTTATTAAGCCTAAAATTGAGTATTTTCAAAAAATAACAAAACCCACGCCTTAAAAAAATTACCATGCCACAGTTGTTTCCTTCTAATAGAATTAGAGCATAAGCATGCTTTTTTTTTAAAAGGGTAGTTAAAGTGGGCGTTTTTAAAAACAATGCAGCTTCATATGACCCGGATTTGGTGTAGGAATGTGGCATGTAGAACAGGCACAATCTTCCAAAACCCTACCAGAAGATCTCTTTCCAGGTTGGATCACAAGAAAGATGGCTTCATTTTAATCCTACCCGTGTTGGTTTCCTCTCAAAAATCCCATTCCCAGCTACTGGGAAACTGGGGCTTTTAATTGTGAACTACAGAGTAAGATGCCTTACACAAAAGAACATAGCCTTAAATTGAAGCAGTTGAGGTCTTGGACTGACCAAAAAAGAACCTTCCCTTAGCATGTAATTACTCTTCCATTTTAAACATGAAATGGGAGAAAACCATTAAAAGTGGCAAAACCCCTCTTTTTGAAAAGAAAAAATACTGATTTTCAGGGCACTTCTTGTTCGAAAACGGAGCATCATTCCCTTGAGTTCTGAATTTACCCCTGAGACAGACAGGAAGAGAATCCAGCACCTGGTAAGTGTAGTCATTTTCTATTTTTTTTAAAAAAAAAACCACCAAAACATTTTACTTGTGTGGTAAACTCGAGATTCTTGTTCCTAGAATGGTCCAGAGTAAAGAAATGTTATGATTTTTCTGAACATTGCAGATTGTATCTATTCTGTATTATTTTGAGTGTTACATTGAGCCGTGTTTAGTACAGGCTTCCTCAGTTTGATACCGCCCAGATCATTTCAGTTCTCTACATTTTTAGCCCATCTGCCATGCTGGCTGCAGAATTCCGGAAAATGAAATTATATATAACTAGACAAAGAGTACATTAGGCTGGTGTTCTTATCATTTGGAACAACAAATTGTTTGCCCAGGGATGAAATTCACACCTTTTATCTTTTTCTATGAGGAAAAGTATGTGTAAAAAAAAAATCCTTATGGGGAAAATTGAATGACTTCCTTAAAATCACACTGTAAATACAAGGGCCAATTCTTCAGCTTTTACTTTCCAAGGCTCACCTTTGTATTCTGAAAACAGTATTTTGAATCTTTCCCTGTTTTCATTCTTTCCCCTAGGCTTTCATCTACCCAAAGCTCTTAGCAGATGAGTTCACACGGTTTGAGTTTCCAAGGAGATTGAAAGGAGATGATTTAGGCCAGAAGGTCCTCTATCGAGATTATTCAATGGAAGGCTGGTGAGTTTCTTAAATTGCCTAGATCAGTGGTTCTCAACCTTTTTAATGCCGTGACCCCCAACTGGTCGTAAGTCGAGGACTAAACTGGCCGTAAGTCGAGGACTAAACCGGTTGTAAGTCGAGGACTAAACCAGTCGTAAGTCGAGGACTACCCAACCGGTCGTAAGTCGAGGACTTTCCCTGCCCAGGAGCGCCGCGCATGCGTGCTTCCACCCCCTGCGCCGGCCGAGGCGTAGCTGACAAGCGGCAGAGACGGAGCGGGCCGACCACCAGCTGGCCCAGCCCAAGGGAGGTAAGGCACCTGTTGGAAAAGGGAAAAAAAATGGCGGACAAAAAAAATGGCAGACAAAAAATATGGCGGACAGCCTTGCTTGGCGACCCCCGTGAAATGGTCGATCGACCCCAAATGGGGTCCCGACCCACAGGTTGAGAACCACTGGCCTAGATTTAGGTATTTTATATGAATAATCTTTTGAGTCTTTCTGTTTTGGATAAGTAGGTCCTTCCCTTCCTTTTTGGCTTAGGTTGCTTTTTAACAACCTGTCTTGGTTATGGTTTACATCCATTTATTTGCCCTGCCTACTTTTACTCTTTCCTCGTGTTTGTAATCCTTGTTCTAAATTAGACCATTTAGGTTAAGAAAATCCCAAGAAACAGTGCAGTGACCAGTTTACCTACAACCATATTGTTCTCCTTGCATATTAATAATATTGAAACTAGAATGGATACCGGTTGCAGAATGAGGGGATGTTTGCAAAACACAAAAGAGAATTTTTTTTGTTCCTTTCTACACACTGATAAATATGCCATTCAGAGTTTCAATAGTCTTTAATTTTTACTTTCTTTGCTTAAAAGTGGAAATGAAAATCAGGACTCCTCTGGGCCAGATTTCTTATATTTAGTGTCAACAATGGTGAACAGTAAATGATGGGGGAGGGTGAAATAGGTTTGCTAATAAAAAAATAATTTGACATTTGGTGAAGTGGACTTCTATAGCCTGAAGACTGAAATTGCTTTAGAACTGCTGCCCCTATTACATTTCATATAATGTATTCATGTGTGGTGTCATGTAAATGTTGACCTCTTTGCAAATAGAGTTTCTCAATCATTTAGAGAAATGAATATAATGTTGCTGTAAATCTCTGTGAGATAAGGCCTTAGATTTCAACACAGAATTAAGTGTCCATTAAGATCAGGTGGTTTAAGTATCCATGTTAATTTGTGGACACAGTGTAGTGAAAGGACAAATAAAATGAAGACTCACTTGTCTGGTTTTTTTCAGGGGATATAAAACAGTAATGAAAGAAGATCTCAAATACCCTCTGATTCATGGACATGGGAAACAGGTATGATGTCCCTCAGGCCTTCATAGTTTGGATTGTACTGAAACTCTATCCTCTTTTGTTCTTGTAGAACTTGATGACCAATTCTTCTCTAGATGCATTTTGGGATAAGAGCAGATTACTTTGTGGATCCTAGTAGAAAATCAAATTCATTATCATGTACCTTCTTTTTCCATTTTTTCAAGAGTCTCTCTCCTTCCTTCCTTCCTTCCTTCCTTCCTTCCTTCCTTCCTTCCTTCCTTCCTTCCTTCCTTCCTTCCTTCCTTCCTTCCTTCCTTCCTTCCTTCCTTCCTTTCTTTCTTTCTTTCTTTCTTTCTTTCTTGTCTTAATCTCAGGGCTTTTCCAAATAGTTTGCCACCCTTAAATGTGCTCAGTATGAGGGACAGATTTGGATTTTGACCTTGCCTTCAAGTGGCCATGTTGGCTTCTGTCCTTTTACCTGAGAACAGAAAGCCATCTAGGCTAGCATTTATGAGGCAGACCTGGCTGTAGCCCAGGGTTATAAAATTTCCTCCTGTCCATTCTCTGGATTATTGAAGTTTCTTCCTATGTTAACAAAGAGTTCAATGCAAGAGTACCACAAAATGCATACTGGGGAGAGAGTTCTTGAGAGGATCTAACACTGGCTGAGGAAAGATGTATGACAATCAAGGACACCTTCACTATCCTGAGCCTTACACACACAATTGAATATAATTATTATCTTGGGAAACAGGAAACCTGCAATCAATTACAGAGGGAAATACCTCTGTCCAAGAGAATAGGCGACGTTGTTTTTTTCAGGCCTAGGAACTTCTGATTGTGGAAATTTTATTTTATTTCTCAGAAAAACCTGGTAGATTTGAGACCTGACTCTTGTTCCCTTTTTCTTGTCTAGGGACAACTCCCTATTCCTTTCCATCTGACAAGATGCCTCCTGACGGGAGGCATCTATGCTGCATAACAGAGAACTTGGTGGCCTATCTCTTCAGTGTGGTGTCATCCTAGTTTTCACTGTCTCATTGGGAACTAGACAGGAAACCTCTGAGGAAGAGGAGGATGAAGGAATTGGCACCACTTTCCTATCCTTCCCTTTGCTTCTCTTTTCTCATGGGGCATAGTCAGTGGAGAGGGTTGGTTTGACGATAGGACCGATGAGGATCCCTTCGTCACCCAGGGAGCTCTGATGAGTGGAATGGCAGGGACTTTGTGGATGTTACAAATCCTTAGGTGAAAAGAAGTGAGGGAATGGGACATATAGCCCTGCCAATTTCTCTCTGCTAACCCAGCTGTCCAATTCATCAGAGACTGCTGATGGCTTTGGAGTGTTGATGACATTTCTCAGTATGGTGTTCATGGCAACAGCACTGTTGAGGGACAGCCTTCTTATTTGGCTGCAACAGTCAGAGAAATCCTCTGACGTGACCACAGACAAGAAGCTACTGTCTGTGGTTTTGTTGGCCATGAATCCTCTAATTCTAACAATTACAGTACACTGATAGAAACAAAGTGTAGAAGAAAAAAAGTTATAAAGCTATACTAAGGGAATCCTTACCACTTGGAAAACTAATGGACATGTTGGCCACGTGTGCTCTCCAGAACAGGTTAGGCCAAAAGCAGAAGCTTCTCTGGCTGCTGTGTGAAGGCATGTTTCAACATTTTCACTATTTTTGGCTATTTTTTATGATCATGTACTTGGGAGTAAGCAAATTAATTCAGGGAAGTAATTTAGAGGAACTTAATTGTGAATGTGTAATCTGTGTGTTAAAACCTAAATAACCTTCAATAATCAGATGTTCCCTGGTTGTGTTAAGTTTAGAATTACTAGCCTAAAGGGTTGTCCACTGTGTGGGTTGGCAGTTACAATTTCAACGCAATCCAAAGGACACCAGATGGGAGAAGACTGGCTGCTTTCATTTTAGAAAAATGAAAGCAGCCAGTTTATTGATCACCTTATTGGACAGCTGATCTTGGGACCTCTTTGTTTCTAAAGTAGAACAGTTGACTAAAAGCACAATTGCTAAGATATTAAAACTCTGCCCTCTGCTGTTCCATCTCCATTTTGATTTTAAAATGCTAGGTAAAAACAATGTTGTCCTTTTAACGGTATGCTTCCTATGCTGTGGGAAAATGCTACTTTTTTCGTGATAATTATACTGTTGACTATGCTGATATGGCAAGCTGCAAAATAAATATTTGGATACAAATATACTGTAAATTACTTACGCATTACTGCTTACTCTAACTCTTGGGTGACATTGTCTCCTGTGCCTTAAGATGCTACATCTTTAGCCTGGACCTGTTCTCATCTCTTTCAGGCTCGTTTACTAGGCACCCTGGCTGTATCTCGAGGCCTGGGAGATCATCAGTTGAAAGTAATTGAAACAAATATTGAAATTAAGCCTTTTCTCTCCTGCATCCCTAAGGTAAGAAAGTACTATGCTACATGGGTAGTAGCAGCCTGTAGTTTAGATACTTCCTCTTCTCTATATTTAGCCTATTCATTATTTTAGAACAGTGACTCTATTTCAAACAACTGCAACAGTGTTAACAAGTGTTATGTCTGGATAGGCTGCGTATATAAATATGTGTGGGTGTTTATATAAGAAAATAGATAGCATTGCCAAGATCTTCCTGGATTGAATACTGTAGGGAAGTCTGCAATAATCTTTCGCGTTGGTTAAATTGAATATGAGAAGCCTCAGGATAATCAGGTCCCAAATCACAGGAAGGGTTCTTCTGATTTTCAAGTAGAATTCACTTGCATATTTTCACCTTAACGTGAAGATTTGAGAAATGAAGTGGCATATGTAAGATATTGTGGGCAAGACTGTTGATGTGTGCATCCCACTTCCTTACAAGTATTCTTATATTTTAATCAACTCAAATGCCTTCATAGAGATTGTTACACTCCTAAAGCTATAAGTGCATGATTTACTCACTCAAGTGATAACCATGTTTTAAATAAAGTATTGTACATACCCAACCCATGTATCCTGCAGGAGGAATCTTGAAACTGGGAATTCAGCTAATTAAGCAATGTAATTAATGTAACTGTGGATGAGTCTTCTTGAACACAGAACCAAGATCTTACTGGGGAGACAATTTCTTGGTCCCAGAGAATGCATTTTTTAATTGAGATTTTTTTCAGTGAGCAGATGCCACTGTGACTAAGTACTGCCAGGTTTGTGTGTTGTAGTATCGCATAATTGCAAATCTATACAACATTTAGATTTTTTTTTTCTTCAAAAAATGATTACAAATTACACCTTCAAAATTTGATTTACTGTTATATTTTGGTAGGGCAATCTTCAGGGCTTCTAAAACACAAAAACACTGAGTGGTTGTAAATAGGGTACAGCTTTTCAGTGTGTGGGTTTATAAAATTTCAGCATCTAATCCCAGCTGAAAAAGTTTTTCTCATTTCATTATTTCTGACTAGGTGGAAGTATTTGACTTAATATCAGAAAATGTTAATGAAGATGATGTCCTCATCATGGCAACAGATGGCCTTTGGGATGTTTTGTCCAATGAAGAGGTAGCCCAAATTGTCACAAATTTTCTTCAGAACAATACAACTGATCCATACAGGTACAATTAGAGGTTGCAAAAATTCTCATTTGTGAATATTTGATTAGCTTATAATATAAAATACAAAAGTACAAAAGCAAATAGTAGGGAACAAAGAAAAGGGGAAGGGAAAAAGAGAAGTGTGGAATAGAGGGGAAAAATAAAATGAAAGCATTGACTTCCAATTCCCTATGTTGCATTAGCATAAGGCATTAGCATCAAAACCTCAACTTTTTACATTTCTATAGTAGTATAAACTAGCCATTTCTGTAACAACAAATCAGTCTAATCAGGATGCAAAAATTCTGGGAATACCAAACTTTTGATAGATCTCTCTATGGAGCTTTATAGAACAGAGCTGTAGCAATAATTAACAAAGTCCATTTTCTGTAACAGTTGACCGATAGTTAATTATAATGTATATTTGTGAACTGTATTCAACTTGAAGATTCACATTTTTTAACATTAACAGTACAAATTTTGAAGGAATCCTTAAATAATCCATGGCAATGAAAATAGTTGGCAGAAATACTGGTGTTAAAAATATAGGAAGTGAAACATGTTAGTCAATCTGTGCAATTATAATACAGCTATACAGCTGTATTATACAGCTTATTGTAGGAAATAAATTCTGATCGTTTATCAGTATCCTTTGCTTATGGAAGAGAGGTCACCAACCTTTTGGGCGCCAGGGACTGGTGCCATGGAGAAGGATTTTTCCGTAGACCAGAGGGGATGTGGTTTTGAATACTGCCTGCATCCCGAGGATGGTGCTTTGCTTGTCTGTACGGCCTGCTTGCTGGCATGCTGCGGACCGATGCCGGTCCACGGACCAGGGATTGGAAACCCCTGTTATAGAGTATTAGAATACCAGGCAACTAAAACATTTTTGTATTGGAAGAGGGCATAGCATTCATTTTGCCTGAGACTTATAGGGGTCAAAACCCCCACCTGAACTAAATGTGGACGAATCTTTTATATGTGGTAGGGTGAACATTTATTCTGGGTTAAATTTGGTCTTTGCTTTTTAATTTACTTCTTTAACTTGTAGATAACTGTATTTTCTATCCCAGTATGGTATAGGATTTTTTATTTATTTTTCTTCATGATTCTTTACAGCTGGCAAAATATCGCCCTAAATTGGTTAGGATATTGAGAGATAGAGTTTAATCCATCTCTTAATAAACAGATTTGCTATTTTTTTTCCATTTCTAAACTACTTTTTATAAAGATGAGGAAAAGCAATTAGCAAAAGTTCTGGTTTTTCTTTGTTATTTTAACTTGTTCAAGTTTAAACAATATTTTGCCCTTATTTGCTGCTACAATAGACTGGCTTGAAGGTAACTTTTCTCATAATGGGATACACATGAAATGAAAAATAAAATGTGAAGATTGGGATACAATTGCCCCACTTGGAATGTTTTTCAGATATCTGTAAGTTACATATGATCCAATAGAAGAGCCACAAATGGGAACGAGGGACTCAGAATACTCTGCCAATTCATGTTTAAGTCTAGATTCATAAATGAAATAAAGGTGACAGTCTATGATGACTGCTATCTATTTCCCATTCTAGAATAAAAAGTTAGGCACGGGAATTATGGCATTAAAAATGTTCACAGCAAAATATAAACAAATGGTTACACATTAATTTCAGTCTTTGTTGGTAAAGAACCACACAGCACAGCCCATCAATAATATAACAGCAAAAATGTATTTTAAGGCTTTTGGGTTAAGCAGTCACAATACATAAGTACGATGCATATTTTTGTATTGGCAGCCTGTCAGGCAGCAGTGTTTAGCAAACTATGTATTTTTTTTCCATTTGTAAGGCAACCTGAAAATTTATCAGCAGGCACATGCAGAAAGAATATACATTAAAGTTCAAATAATCGACACAATTTTTGTATCTAAATATACAGTAGAGCTTCAAAAACATTTCTGGAACACTTGGATAATTCACACAGTCTGCTGCCCTGTCTTTGGGAAAGACAGAAATGGTTGCTCTAAGCTTAAGGCACTTGTAAATAGCTCTAGTTTCACTTTCCTCCTTGCCCTGTCTGTTCCAAGAGAAATAGAATGTCTGTATTTTAAGACAAGCCAGTCACAGCATTTAGAATAACTTTTTTTTGTCTCAAGCCTGATATAAATTAGTTTTCTGAATTTCAGTCAAAATGGTTAGTACATCGAATATGTTGTATTTCCCAACCATTCGTGGAGTTTATGCCATTTCTTTTGTACCTGTTTCTCTAGGATTGTTTATAATTGCACTGCATGAAATCCAATATTATTTTCACAGGTTTTCAGAATTGGCCAAATTGCTTGTGCAAAAAGCAAGAGGGAAGGAGAATGGTTATTACTGGATCAAGGACAGTAAAGAGCCTGCTTCTTATGATGACATTTCTGTATTTGCAATTCCATTGTATAACAAGAATGAATATTAAACAATCTGCTGCTGCTAAAGGAGGCACAACTTGTCTTCAGATGGTAATGGAACTGTATCAAAACATACAGTTGCTGAAAACTGCAAATTCAGGCTTTGAAAGCAGAATAACAGAATTGGAAGGGACTTTGGAGGTCTTCTAGTCCAACCTCCAGCTCAAGCAGGAACCCTACATCATTCCAGACAAATAGTTATCCAATCTCTTCTTAAAAACTTCCAGTGTTGGAGCATTCATAACTTATGCAGACAAGTTGTTTCACTGATAAATTGTTCTAAGGAAATTTCTCCTTAGTTCTAGGTTGCTTCTCTCCTTGATTAGTTTCCATCTGTTGCTTCTTGTCTTGCCTTCAGGTGCTTTGGAGAATAGCTTGACTCCCTCTTCTTTGTGGAAACCCTTGAGATATTGGAACACTGCTATCATGTCACCCCTTGTCCTTCTCTTCATTAAACTAGACATACCCAATTCCTGCAACTGTTCTTCATATATTTTTGCTTCCAGTCCTAATCATCTTTGTTGCTCTTCTCTGCACTCTTTCTAGAGTCTGAACATCTTCTTTATACTGTGTCAACCAAAATTGGATGCAATATTCCAAATGTGGTCTTACCAAGGCATTATAAAGTGGTACTAGCACTCCATGTGGTCTTTTTGGCAGCTGCAGCACACTGCTGGCTCATATTTAAGTGATTGTCCACTAGGACTTCACGATCCCTCTCATAGTTACTACTATTGAGCCAGGTACCATCTATTCTGTCATATTCATTTGATTTTTCTTGTCTAAATGTAGAACTTTCCTCACCATTGTCCCAAAGGTGCTTTTTTCGGGAAGCAACTGGACTTCCCTTTTTTTTTTTTCCTATAGAAAAACAGGAAAGTCCAGTTGCCTCCTGAAAAAGCACCTTTGGGACAACTATGACCTGGATGACTGAGAATCTCCATAGACATTTCCTTACCATTGAATTTCGTTTTGTTAGATAGGGCCCAGTCGTCAAGTATGCCGAGATCTTTCTGTATCTTGAGCTCATCTTCTGGCTGTTCCTGCCAGCTTGGTGTAATCTGTAAATTTGATGAGTGCCCTTCTATTCCCTCATCTAAATCACTGATGATGTTGAAGAGTACTGAACCTAAGACAGAGCGTTGGGGGGTACCCCACTGCTTTACTTCCCACCATGTAGATGCAGTTCCATTGAGGACTACATCTTGGGTGTGGTTGGTCAAACAGTTATGCATCCATCTGGTGGTGATGCTGTCTAAATCCGAAAAGGACATTGATTTTGTTTCACACTAATCTCACGTTTTGCTTGGTTTTACAAGTTGCTAACTTATCACAAATTTAGTATTTAAGAAAATAAGTTTTAGTTTTGTCTTGTTTGTTACCTAAATATGGAAGGATTAGCACGTGCTTAGTAATACCATATAATGCTTTTGTTAAGATGAAGAATTTAATAGGAACTTACATCTATTTCATAAGAGATAATTTTTGTATTGTGGCCTAAAATTTTATGCAATATCCAGAGTTTCGTCAGCAATACAAAACATGTAATAAAATAGAAGAAAAACATATTGCAATACAAAGCAATTAGAAAATATCGGTATTAAAGTTGCTTACAATTTAGAAGTACAGGAAATTAAGAAGTATTAAAATGTTACTACCTTCATTGTATTACTTCAGGCTGAATCTGTCAAGCCAACATGCTGATTTGGGCTTTTGAAAAAGATTTTACTGTAGGTCAGGTTATCTTTGTATTTTATGTGTGTGACTGTATTTATTTATATATAAAACATGTGCATATTAAATTGTAATCGTATAAGCATGGGCGTAATAGCAAACAAAGAATATGTTTAATATCTTAAAATAATTTTATTTTCAATAAAATACATGCCAACACAATTGGTCTCATTTGTCTGCAATATCAAGGTCATTTCATTTTTATTTATTAGCTTTAAGTGCATTTTTAAAAAAATACATAGTACTGGTACATTTTAATATACCCATAGTGTTTGAAATAAGCTATTTCCAGGATGATTGTCTTACGTAAGTAGTGACATTTCACGATTCATTATAAAAAGTTTCATTCCTTTGGCTTGTCACAGAAATGATTTTATCAGATACTTTTTCAGATAAAGGTATAACCAGATATTATCTTTCCATCTCTCCATTGAACTGTTTTCCAGGTATTCCCATTGCTTAGCTAATCAATAGGTAAAAATGTAATGTTTTTTATTCTGTGGTTTCTTAATCTAGCCATCAAATATGCATAGCAATTGAATCTTTTGTTTAGTTATATATTTCTTTAAACACATTCTTTCAAAATTCCAATACTTTATTGCATTCCCACCAAAGATGGAAGAATGTTCCCTTTGACTGTCAGCTTCACCAACATCTCACTAAATGTTGAGAAGACATATAGGAGTTTGATGCCACTGATGTAAAAGTTTTAAGATATAATTCCTTTATGAATGCTGATAAAAAAATCCTTGATGCTGCAGTAGAGATTGGCAAATACCTTTAATTTTAATTTAATATTTAATCTTTATTTCTAAATAAAACCCAATTGTTCCTCTCGCTCTTAAGTTCCGAATTTCTTTTAGTCCATCGTATATTGCCATCATATATTTCAAGTATGTTTTTTGTAGTCCATCTTCATTATTTTTACAAATAAGTCAAGGCAGCAAACTTATCCAGCACATCTTCTTTCCATTTTCCCCACAGCAGCAACCCTATGAGGTGAGATTTGAATTCATGGCCTCATTCCTTCTAGCCTGGTGCCTTAACTCTCAACAGAGTTAATACTGAAATATGTAGAATAAATTCTGAAACCGTCATCCTCCAAATTGGGTAGTTATTGAAATTCTTAATTCGATCTATTGGGGAGAAAAGAGATACTTATTCCAGCACTGAGCATTTTATATTTCAGACCATTGTTTGGTGGAATTCAAGGCATGGTTCATGCCAGTCAACTGTTTACTATATTTTTAAGAGATGCCCCTTTTTTGTGGCATGTTTCTTTTTATGGTATATGTTGATTTAAAACAGAATTAAACTTGTTTCTGCCAATTAGAATTTTGTCAACATTTATTTTTTGAGAGGGCTTGAAATCAATTTTGGAAGCACCACATCTTTACTGCTGCTATACCATTCAAAATGTTTACATAAATCATATTTTTAAAAACTCCAAACAGGGCTATGATCATTATGGAATAGCTTTAATTTAATATGCTAATTCCCAATTGCCTAAATTTGAAGAGGAAGATCTGAGGTATAAGAAATATTTTTGTTTATGGAGTGTATAAATGCCAACTATTGTGGATTTTTTGAAATTAACTGTTAAGCTGAAGACTGACACATTCTTGAAGTTCTTTTGCATTGGAAATTATAGTCATGTCATTGAAAAATACATTCAATAATGTTTACCTGCTGTTAATTCCCTTAATTTGCTCATTTGCACATAGTGCAATTTTGGTAACTTGATGCTTCTTGTGAAGAGCTTCTTCTTTCGGAATGTTAGCAGCATTGACATCTTGTTATGAGAAATTCATGATGGACTAAATATCCTTGAAGGCGCTGGGATGGCACTGAAGCATAGATTGGCGGTCAGATAAATACTTCCCAGCAGGCTTTCTGCATAAAGAAGAGATTGTGAGATCGCCCACTTGTACTCTGGATTGCTACTCCTTGTGAATAGATTGCAGAAACTAAGGTGGTTGTTGGGTCATGAGTAAGTGGCTGGGAATTGAGGGATTTCAATCAAGCTCATAGCCGTGATGCAACAATTTCTTAAAAACTTGGATGTAATTAATTTACAGCTATAGAGATTTTTGGAGCAGCAGAGTAAGAGAATTCAACTTGGTGAATCAACGTTTGTGGATTACAAAAGGGAAATTTAAAATTTAAAAACTTTTGGTAAAAAGCATAAGATTGAACTAATGTAAGAAAATTTAAAAGAGATGTTACTTGATTATTTTGTGAAAGTGCCTTTGAACAAATTGGAAAGGGCACTGGAAGATAAAATAGAAAAAAAGTAACTTTCCTTTTACTTTCTCCCTTGCAATGGAGACACTTTCATTTTGGGATTACAATATTACAATGGCAACCACCAGAAAAGTGGCAAAATAGTAGAGGAAGGAGAGGATCACTAGAGCAATCTGCAGAATTACACTAGACCAGTGGTTCTCAACCTTTTTAATGCCGCGACCCCCAACCGGTCGTAAGTCGAGGACTAAACCGGTCGTAAGTCGAGGACTTTCCCTGCCCGGGAGCGCCGCGCATGCGTGGTTCCGCCCCCCTGCACCAGCCGAAGCGTAGCTGGCAAGCAGCAGAGACGGAGCAGGCCGACCACCAGCTGGCCCAGCCCAAGGGAGGTAAGGCACCCGCCGGAAAAGGGGAAAAAAATGGCGGACAGCCTTGCTTGGCGACCCCGTGAAATGGTCGATCGACCCCAAATGGGGTCGCGACCCATAGGTTGAGAACCGCTGCACTAGACGTACTTTAGAAAACATTTGAGGAATTAGGCAGTATATTAGCGAAATCACTTAATACTAAATTGATATTTTTTTAAAAAAATGGTATTTTGTCCAAAAACATTTAAGACAGAAGGAAATACACAAGCTAGTCAAAATATAACACTGCATTTTCAACATCCAAATGGGTTACAATTATGAAAATGGGCTGGATGCAATTGCATATTTATCTTACTATCTTGAGCTGCTTCAGATTTTATTTATGCTTTTAAAATAGTAATAAAATAGCCAACCAATGTATTTTGTCATAAGGATATGCTTAAGAGATGAAATAAAAAGGAATAAAAATCAATTTATACAGGACAGCAATCCTATCTTATACCTAATACTGTAATTTATTCTTGACTGGAAATATTTATAAAAAATATTCAAGCTGCAAATACAGATGTAAAAAAGCAGTATGTTATTAAAATGCATAATGTAAGAAATCAGAATACATTGCAAATGATAACATTTCTAAAGGAAAAAAAAATGATCCCACAATCAACTCCCAGTAAAAAAATTAACTTTTACTCAATTTAATTTTAATGAAAAGCAGTTCTAGGTCAAGGGCAGTGTATTCAAGATTTAAAAAGATGTTTCTATTGATTTTTGTCACTGAAAAAATGATGCTAAAATTACGAACAGGTCTAAAGACGATTAAATGGTATTTATATTTTACTAGATGAACTGGCCATAAAAAAGAACATATAGTGTATTGTGCAATGAATTGTCACAAAGGGCACTGTGAACAACAATCCTGCCCTGTGTCCCAAATTTGCCACTCACTGGCCTGCAAAATCTTTCACAAATAACAAGCCAAGAGGTAGAACATTGATGTATCTACAGTAATTCCCTAAGCTCGAGTTATCTATATTATTAGATGTTAGCTGACTCAGGAACGTACTGTGGGATATAAACACAAAACCCAGTTTAAATACGAATCCAACAGTCAGCTTAATGTCAGCTAGGAGATTTCCCCTCCCCTTCTTTTATTCACCAAAACAAACTTCCCTTATTATATTGCTCAGGCTGACTTATGCATCACAACTCCATGGAGGTGGTAGTTCAATACCAGTAATGCAAACATCTCCATAGAATTTGAACACTTCCAAGCAAAACCAAGTGTAGTAAAGAAGAGTGCTGATATTATCCAAATGTTCTGATGGATGGAAATACAGCAGCATTTTAATATTAAGAAAACTAGAGCAATGAAGCATTGAAATTATGCTTCTTTGAAATGCATTTTTAAACGTTCAGATTGTTATCAAGTCCTGACAGATTATGGTAGCGGAGGCAACACCGTTGACATAGGAAATGCAGCATCAATATTATAAAATTAAAATCTTAGGAAGTTAAAAGAACATGAATTTGTCTGCTCTCTTGGAAAGGATGCTTAGACAAAGTTAAAGCAGGGCCCTTCATGCTACTGCAGTGACAGCAGAAATAAAAACGAGATCAGCTGGTAATTATACAATTTCATCCAACCCGCTAATGAAAAAGGCCGACTTCCACGTGCCGAATATCCCAGTGCTTAATGAATGGAGATCTCCTGTGTAGGCAGAGGGAGAAGCTGCACTACTTGCATTGTGAACAGTGGAATGACGTTTTATACTTGGAAGAATAGAAACTTGGAATGCTCTGAGAACGACAAGTACACTAACGCTCATTCCAGAATACTGTGTTGGTCCAATATTTACTATTTTTTTAATACCTGATAGTAAAAAACAATAGTGACCCTTCCACATTCTCCCCTTCCCTGTATTTATAAAATCTGCAAAGATACACTGAAGGAAGAGATACAGGAAGTGCATTTCCGTCCAGCCCAACTGAGATTTCTGTATTGCTCGGCATTCTACCCAAACACACCAAGTATCTGTTCATTTCAGAAGCTGCCCATAGCAAAGAGAATCAGAATAGTTTCCTAACGATTCAGAACCTGTTGGAGCACTTAAGGATAAACATCTTTAACAATGTTCCTGTAGCAACTGATATTGATCTCTCTGTCTCTCTATATATACATGTATGTGTGTGTGTATGTATGGCACAAAGGTATCTTTATACAGCACAAGAGTACACAGCATGGATACTGCTGATATTTCAAACAGGACAGAATATGTTAGAAATTGTACTTTTAACAAAGTCCAAAATCCTGGGAGTTTACAAGTCAGCCACAAAGACAAAGGACTGGCAAAATTCTTTCCAAATGTACTCCAAAGCAAAGCTGCTAGTTGATTTCAGCTGTAATAGTTCTGCTTCAATTTGATGTTGGAAGAAATATTCAGATTTTCAGAACAGGAACCTGTATAGCCACATGAAGAAATCCTTTGTAGGAGATGCAGCAAAGAGCTTGACAAAAGGAGACATATGCAGAATGTACTGGGTGGGAATATTCATCTCCAAGTGACACAATTCCAATACTTTCACCGTTGTCTTTATAAATACTGCATTGCTTTCAATACAGTATGGAAACTGTCCATTGGAAGTGATTACTTCAGACTAGTCATCTATAGTTGGCAACCAAAAGGCCTGAATAAAGAAGAGAGGATAATGTTAATGTTCAAGGAGGTTTGTCTTGAAACAATGCCAAAAACTAACATACAGCATCGGCAGGCAATCCTGGCTATGTTGTGATGGCCACCTATGCCCTTTATTTAACAGCTGTTCAAATGGTTATGCAGCAGCTGTGCAGAGACAATATTTTTAGTACTCTATCACTAATAGGGAAGCAGCATCAGAGAGGTAACCCAAGTTGCTAGCACTTCCTGCAGGCAAGGCTGTAGGACAGTGGTGGCAAATCTATGGCACACGTGCCAGAGGTGGCACTCAGAGCTCTCTCTGTGGGCACGCATGCCATCATCCCAGCCCCGCCTCCCCCAGTGGCCCCCTCCTCACCAGCGGCCCCCCAGAGGAGTTACCCCCAAGCGTGGCCCGCGCGGAGCAGCGCAGCCAAGGACATGCGAGCCGGGCAGCGGGGACAAGACTCCGCCCTCACGCCCCGCCATGTGCAGATGATGCTGCGGGGTGCGGGTGGAGGGCATGGCCGCCTTGGCGCTACTGGGCTGCCTGGGCAATGTGGCGGGCCATGGAGACGGTGAGTGGCCCTGCGGGCAGGTGGGAGGGCAGGACGGGGGCGGTTTTTGGGCACTCGGTCTCTAAAAGGTTAGCCATCACTGCTGTAGGATGTTACAGCGGTGGACAACCAGCATTCATGGCCCTTTAGAAATTCAGCTCTGCGAGGTTTAGAGGTAACACGTCTTGCGTTTTGACAAGAGATCAGTGAACTAAAAATCTTGCCCGATACACAGTTTTTACTTTGTCAGAATCTTCACATATTCCCAAGTAGCACTATCTTTAACACTCTGACTTTTCTGATACTACAATGTGACTGATTGATGCGATACTACAAGATTCAAACAATGCACCTACACATTTTTTTCCAGCCTAGTTCAGTAAAGCAGGGGGAATAGCTTGGTGAACAGCTTAGCTTCATTTGTCACAAAGTGACATAATTAACACAGTTCAGATTGAGAGAAAAGACCATTTTAATTCACTTATGTTTTATTGTGTCAGTAGAATTCTCTAAGCGGAAGTGCACGAGGGTTTTCGTAAATGTCTATTTGCAAGCAACTTTTTGGCAGAAGAAAAACAGGCTAGAAGAATATTATGTATATATGGAACAGTATCTTTATCATTAATTCTGAATGTAAACAATCCATTAATGTAAATTCTGAATGTAAACAATCCATTAATACAACCCAAATATATGTGAAAATAAATTATTTTGGTTTTATTAAATAGGAATGTTGGGAGAAGATCAACCACAAAATCAAATTCAGTATATCATTTTAATATAATACAGAAAACAAAATGCATATATATAGGACAAAAATAAATGGTGTTTATTTAAATCAATCTGAGTGCCAAACATTTTCTATTTCAACTATTTCAATCCACATTACTAGACTGGCCATTCTTAGGCCATTAAAATGATACCCTTCCATATACCAGGGCTTTTAAATAATACTAAAGGAAGGTTTAACCTCAGAATAGTCATTATCTGGAGTATTTTTTACCACTCTTTTTAAACATTTAAATAGAAAAATAAATATTTTTCTATTGATTTTCTATTGAAATATTTTTCTGCCTACCCATCTATCCAAGTATACAAAAATAATTGTTTATTGTTTAACCTGTATATGACTCGGGGTGGGGGGTAGCTTCCAGCTTCCTTATAGAAATAACACATTTATGACAGTGTGAAAAATGGAATTATATTTTGCTTCATTTTTAAATATTCGAGAAACAGCATTTTAGTAATGTGTGTAAATCAAGGTAGCAGGATGATATCCCATGAGCACCACTTGGCCACTTCTCCAGATCCACACCATGTTCTAGTTGCAGTAATAACTTCAACTAGCACATATGCCTAAAAGGAATTTTCAGAAAATAAAAATGACAGCAGCCTAGTGGCTTTGTTTGAAAATGTTTCTATCTGCCTAGAAAAAAGATTAGGAATATTAAGTGGAATATAGGCAGTATATCTGGGCTGCCAAAAATGGGTGCTGACTAGATAGTTTTCTACACTTTTCTGCTACTGTCTTAGTGTTATCCATATAGTTATAACCCATGGAATTATAAGATTGTACATGACATTAGAGGTCATCTATTTGAACCCTTGTCCAGTGCAGATCTGCTAGAGTGGTTCTTTGACAGTTATACAGAAAACTTCCAGCAAAGGAAAATTACCATATCATGTGTCCACCTGTTCCACTGGCTATAACAATCTGTGTAATCAGAAAGTCCTTCCTGTCATTTAGCTTACCTACACTACCTTCTTTTAGTTTTAACCTGTTCTGGTCTTTCCATCTGGGACAATATAGAATAAGACCATTCCTTCTTCAATATTATTTCAGGTATTTGATGATTACTATTTTGCCTCCAGATTTTGGATGCCTCATGCCGAAGAGTGTACAGACTAGTGGAAAACAAATGCACCTGACTGCTTCCTGGTAAAAAGACATTTTGGGAATAAACGTACCTGCTCTGGAAGTTTTTGCTGCATTGTTTTTAATTTGGAAGCATTTTTACAAATAGGCAAGCTCCCCATGGTAGTCATTTTGTGAGATCATTAATAATATGCTCTCAAAATTTCAAGATAATGTAGACAATTAACAAGAATTACAAACAGTAGTGATATATTATTGATAATATCTTGATCTTTTTAACTGAAGTATAATCAATCCAAAAAGTATCAAATAAAAGAGAATATTTGTAAGACAGGGTTGAAATGAGGGTTCCTTGTTGCTCTCTGAGCTTGGTTGTTTTCTTGCAGATGTTGAGTCAGGAAACATCTGCAAGAAAACAACCAAGCTCAGAGAGCACCAAGGACCCCACAATCCTGGAGGACTTGATTTGCTTAAAATTTCGAATCAACTTAGGTTTGCTTACCATATTGGAGCACGCACTGGCAAATGTCATAAACTTGGGGTTGAATTGCAAACAGGTAATGGGCCCTGTGTGTTTCCCATCAAGCACTGCTACCTTCATTCCAGTCTCTCCATTCCAGACATGAATCTTCCCATCCTCTGATCCTGCAGTGTCAACCAGAATCAACAGAATCTGGATTGATTCATCCAAGATTGATTCATATGCAACTCAAGTAAACAGCAATACAATAAAACATTGTAGCAAAAATGAAACATCAAGTAAAAAAAAAAACACCCTCCCCAAAAGGTACAAATCACTTGGAAGCTTTATGGAAGTGACCCTGAAATTATTTTATATAATTGGCGCTGCATCAATATATAGAGAGGAAATATAATTCTTACCAATCATTATAAACTGAGAATCTGGGGTGAATGAAGCTTCCAGTGTGACAGCTTTGCTATTATTATATCCCTGTAAAAAAGAGTAAGATGAACATGAATTTAAGCAAACATCGGGAGACAATAGAAGACAGAAGGAGATGGTATGCTATGGTCCATGAGGTTGCAAAGAGTCAGATGCAATTTAGCAACTGAATAACAATAACAAAAAGAGTATGAGCATAAAATATAACAGAAAAGTTAAAGTTTAACTCAAACAAAAAATTGGTTTGCAACGCCAGGGTGCCCAAGAAGCCCCTTCCAACCATTGTCCTTTCCTTTCCAGAGAAGAAGTCTTCTGAAAGCTTTTTAAAAGGTTTATCACATTATTCACTTGAATTCTAGAAGATTTAATTCTTCAACAGCCTTAGCACAAAATAGTGCTTCTAAGACATGGGAATAACCATGGCAAATTAGGGAAATTACATATGCATTAAGGATATTTCAAGCAATAAATTACTTATTTATTTATACATATTTCTTAACCACCCATCTCCCTTACAAAGGTGGCATACAATATCAAGCACATTTAGTAAAACCAATTGCTATCCCATTAATCTAAGTCTTGGAAAGACCTGGATCTAAGAGGTCATGGCTGATAACATAATGAAGGAGACATCACTCAGAAGATCATCATCACCATTTTATACTGCCCATTTTTCTATATTGATCAACTGAGGGCAGCAAACATTCATAACAGTCTTGCCTCCTATTTTTCCTACAAGAGTTTTGTGAGGTAAGCTGGATAAGAGAGACAGTGACTGGCTCCATAGTCATCCAGCTGACTTTCATGTCTAAGAGAGGTCTACAACTCAGACTCTATTGGTTTCTAGGCCAAGTGCCTTAATTACTATGCCAAACTAGCTCTCAAATTAGGCCTTAACTGGTGGAAAGAAATTCTGAATAACATTACAAGGACACTATCTATAATTTCCCCTGGGAAAATTTAAAAATCAAAGAGTGGAAAAATTGTCACCAACTCTGGTCTATTTAAAAATCCAGAATGAACAGCAAGACAGGAGCTTTTCTTCTTGTCATGACTAATGAGAATGTATACTTGTAGCTATGAATGGTTGTGAAATTTAGAATAATTTATTTCTTAACTCCATGGGTTGAAAAGAGTATAAGAGGAAGGGAGGGTGCTAAAGCCCAATCTAAAGCACGGTTTCATAAAGTGATTTTTACGTTATCAATTACCTTTTCATCTATTTATTCCAGTAGATTTCTTTCAATTAAAAAGTTACTCTCAAGTATCCCAACTTAATGGCTTAAGTTTTACATAAGGGATGCACCATCAAACCTCAATTTTCACTTAAGAAGGGATCAGCAAAAATAACCTGATGAATTAAGTACCCTTATTTTCAGCTATAAAAGTGTCTTCTACTGCATTGCTAACTCAATATTCCATAAATCTTGTCTTAATTCTAAAGAACATCCGAAACAAAGAGCATGTATGAAGATATAGAAATATCCCTCACTGTAAATGTATGAAGAACTGCTCCTTTAAAGGCATCAATGAGTCGTATGATCCCTCCATTAGTTGAAATAAGAACAAGTTTTCCATCATTGCTGAACTTCAGGCCAGTCCACTCACAGGTTCGATCATATTGCATCTTAAAGGTAGCAAATGGACCCTTCAAAAAAGAAAGACAGATGTTGGCATGCAGCAAAACTATTCCAGATGTTCAGATCATTTTGCAAGAAATACTGCACTAGGCAGACTGTCTGATGTGGGAAAGAATTTTCATTTTCTACAGAATTTGCCAAGGATACATGTAAAGTTATTTAAGCTTCAATTCCTGGAAATCCCAAGTTCGGTGTTTTACTTTTATATGTCAGAAAAGATGCCATATTTAGAAATCTTATGAGGAGGTTACACCTGAATGTTACATACTACTTACCTTATCAAAGGACCGAAGATCATAAAGTTTCACCATTTCGGAATTGACCCCAGCTGCAAAAATCAGCCCCTCTGGATCAAATGAGCATACAGGTTTTCCTTGTGGATGCATCAAACCCTAGATTTTGAATATACACACAAAAAAACATATATATATATATATATATATATATATCCATTCAGAGTTCAATATAAGATGAGCAGTTATGTTGTAAATAGGTAAGATACACACATACACAAACAAGTGAGACAGATTGATTTATATTTTGATAGTTTCTCCCCCTTTTCTTCCAGTCATTAATTTCTACTTGTTATACTTTACTTTGGACACTATTACTCATTTTGGTTTGAATCCTTTTAATTGTTGTTGAACTATTATTCAAAACTGTTTCGGTTTTTCTTCAAAGATCACCTAAGAGAAAGTGCACATTTTAACATTGCCAGGCTTCAAGTATACAGTATGTTGGTTATATATAAAGAGGTGTATACTTTGTTCATATCTACTACACTGCACAGGAAATAAAGTCTGTAATCTAAAATCTACACAACACTTGACATGCATTAACATACTTCATGTGGACTTTAAAAGTTTACCTGGCAATTTGGTGACCGAAGATCCCAAAGTCTGATAGTCTTATCAAGTGATCCAGATATAAAGGTATCATCTACTGGAGACATTGATAAAGCAACAACTCTGAAATGAAGAGAAAAAAATAATATAGCTAAAGGAATCTGCATTATATGCCATATCTAATATTTTATACTTTGAAAAAAGTTGAAAATTTAGGCAACATAAGTAAAAACAGAACAAAATCTATTGTGGATTAGTTATAATGACTCTTATTTATGTTTACTTCTTCCTATAGTCATAGCAATAAAATTGTAAGCTATACTCTACTCATCTTACCTCTTGCTATGTCCTGGAAAGTATCTAATGTATTTATTGTCATGAAGAGAAAGGTATCTGATAGTATCTGTATGGAAACATCAACAAGGTAAACATTATACAAAAGGACTCTCCAATGGAGCTTACTTATATAGAGTAAGACTTTATTAATATTAGCTGACTAGGTTTGCACATCTCAAATTTTAATAATGGAATTAAGTATGGTGTCCAAGTTCACACACAGCCATGAAGCATAGTTTATAATTCACTCACATACAAAAAATGATTTAGTACTTTGTATGAATTCAGATATATGATTTGGTATTTCATATGAACTAAACAGATATAAAATCAGTGAAAACAAACCATGGCTAAACAGAATATGTAAATCCAATCAGCTATTGTGGGTGTAAACAATACAGTCACGAAGTGTAGCCTTCAGTTAAGAATCTGGCTCAAAAAGATACATACAGTATTTTCTATATCCACAGATACAGAACCAGAATTCACCTCTAGCTCAGTAATTACTATAAAAAGTTTGTATATGAAACACTGATCATACCTTATATTTCAAAGCAGATAAACAATGTAAAAGGAAACAATTTAGTAGCACATATATAAACCATGAACATAAAATCAAGAATAATGTGTAATATTTTATTGCAGCATTTCTTAACTAACTTAAATACAGATGACTGTTAAATATAGGATGAGTGCATTGGAAGGCTGCTAAATAATAGGACTTTCTTAAAAAACATTATCTGGAGGTGACTAAGTCTCAAAGTATATTGTAAGTCAGCTGGTACAACAGATTAAGTATACTTTCCTTACAGGATAATAAGTCAATTTTCCTTTCTTCAAAGATAAACTAAATATCAATTTATGCCTGCAAGCTTATATTTCTGCAATTTTTGTATATCTGCCCCAGGATTTTCTGATGAATCATCAAGCATTTATTCTAATAGTTTTACAGAGAAACATGAATGAACAAGATTAGACCTAAAAGTCTGAAGAGCCAGCCTTCCACTAAACCAGGGGTAGGCAACCTCGGCTCTTTTATGACTCATGGACTTCAACTCCCAGAATTCCTGAGTCAGCATAGCTGACTCAGGAATTCTGGGAGTTGAAGTCCATGAGTCATAAAAGAGCCGAGGCTGCCTACCCCTGCACTAAACAAAGGAGCTACAAAGGAAATCTGTAACATATACAAGCATTTGAGACAAACTTTTGCTTTCCACAGAACAACTATTACCTGGCACCAAACAAACATGGGCAGAAAATTTCTTCTTTGAGTCGTAAAGCTCTGCCCCAGGCAAGGCAGTGGCCTGTACAGTTATCTCCTGTACCGGGTGGTATCATAGACCCTCAAACTGTACAAACTACTACCTCAGCCTGGAACCAGGCACTGTGCAGTAAGCAGAAGAAAAGCTAAAAAAATCAAAAATTCTTCATAAAGGATGGTGTGAATAGACCTGGTTCAAGATATAATTCAGACACACAAATTTTTAGCTGGAAAAAAAGAACGTTAACATATCTGTATCTTTGTATGCTTTCTCATAAGAAAAATGGCCAAAATATTTCCATTACTATGTATTAATAAACACAGTGATTAATATAAAACATAACATTACACAACACAACACAACAGATGCTCTTCTCAAATATTATTTTAAAAACATCAAGCATTTGGAAAGCAAAGACTTTGATTAGGATTATTCCACCTGTATCATCTTGTAGCATATGAAATTGATTCTCAATGAACAGACGTGTCCCAGGATAATGTTGCAGGATCCAATCTGGGTCGGTCACCGGGACCTCAGAGGTTTTGTCTTCCAAGCTTTTGGACTCGTGCTGGATCAGTCCATCCTCAGGGACCTTCTTGGAAGACAAAACCTCTGGTCCCAGTGATCGACCCAGATTGGACCTTGATTCTCAGTTTCACAAGTTTGTGATACAAACAGAAAAGTAATAGTAACATAGAGTAAATAATGTAGATTAAGCACAATAATGAGTTACATATAAAGATGCATTAAAATGCTCCATCCAATACCCATATGGCTGCATCAATACACATTCACTGCTAACGTGTTCAAACAATTACCCACCTTTTACAGTGTCCTCTGGGACTGACTTGCTGGTCAGAAATTTCTCTATCATTAACATTGCCCATTTACTGGGCTAGAACTATATAAATCTATATTTTATTAAAGTTTTTATTTTTAAAAAAATATTAAATTAATAATATCCCCTTTTCTAGCTCCTGCATTTCTGACAAGAGACAAGAATACACCAATGACATTTAATTGTACATCACAATCTTGAGATAGGTCGGAGACATCGTTAAAGTTCTGTCCCAGTGCCTGGAAGTGGTGTAGGTCTGTACGAGAGACCTTAAATAAATGCTAGCAAGATGGAGCTATAATACGGTTTATATTCTGGGGTTCCACCACACTCTCTTTTGTCTCTGGATGGAGTTCCATTGCCCCAGGAAGAAGTCTGTGACTTGAGAATCCTCCTGGATTTGTTTCTCTTGCTTAATCTGCAGGTGGAAGCTGCAGCCAGGAGGATCTTTGCCCATCTTTGGCTGGTGCAGCAGGTGTGACCTTACATGAGACAGAAAGACCTGATTACAACAGCTCATGACCTCATTACCACCTGATTAGACTGCTGCAATGTGCCCTACACAGGGCTGCCTTTGGTGACAATCTGGAAGCTTCAACTGATGCAATATAAAGTGGCTCAGGTGCCTATAGGAGTGAACCAGTTATACTTGTTTTTTTAGGTCTCTAATTGGTTTCCTATTAGCTTCCAGGAACAATTTAAAGTGCTTGTTTTAACCTATAAAGTCCTTTATGCATTGACACCTGGTTACGTACAGGACTGCATCTCCACACTAGAGTTGGTTGCAGCACTTCCAATCATGCTGGAAGCAGCTGTTTGTCTCCTATTTGGGGGAAGTTGGGGGCAGAAGCCCAGAAGCATTGTTTTTCCATGATGGGACCGGCCCTCTGGAATGACCTCCAAATGGAGATTTTTCCATCTCCAACACTGTTCACTTTCTGAAAAAAACTGAAGATTTTTTTTCCAGAGGGCCTTTGGGTCCTGAAGTTATCAATTAGGTCTGAGTTTAATTGGCCTATGTTTATTTTAACTCCCTGTATTTGGTAAGCCACTCGGTTTTGTGATTTTAGCAGAATACAAATTTGTTCAATAATAATCCAACAAATATTTTATTAGTTGAGGATCGCATTGAGCCAAAAGTAAAAACTGTCTGTGAAGGAGTCAGAAAAAGCAAAAGACATGGAAAACTAGTTGTTATCAAAGAATCAGGAGGAAACATATGAAAAGGAGGCCCTGAAAGAAAAAGACATGCCAGCTAGATGTAAACTTTAAAAATGCAGAGATTTTCAAGTTAAAATTTTAACTTGGTGACATTTCAGACTTTACAGGAACATGTAAAAGATTTTAAGCCTTAATGACATTTATGTGTTGTCCGTGGTTGCTAAGAAAGGCATACAAGGTCTCCAGAATAAATGAAGAAATTGCTGAATTAGGCAAAAGAACTTGCAGAAACCCAAAGGTTTTCGAGGGAAACTTTGAAAGGACCAAAGCTACTGCTTAAATGATAAGAGGGTCCACAGGTTGATATGTTTAAAAGAGTATTTTATTGATTTGATAAAGGACAATGATTTGCGTTTTTGCTAATATGCACTGTTCCAATTAAATATATAATTTACTGTCATCTAACGATCAGGGGGAAGCAGGAAAAAGAAGTAGCCTGTTCCTCTTGTTTGCAAGTTAAAGTAATAAAAGCCTTCCCATTAAACATCTGGTTTATTCCTTGACAAATACTTTGTTAATTGTTCAAATAAAAAAACTTTCTTTTTAACTGATGTTAAATTGCTAGTATATGCTTGTATTTCATTCTGATTTACTTCTGACTCAAAAACTGATCAGGAAACTACCTTAAAAGCCGTGCTTTAAAATTAGGATTTAAAATGAAGAAACATTGACATTATCAATTAACGGCTTCAATGAATTCACTCTTAACCTCAGTCAAAATCAGTCTTCTCAAGTCTTCAATACTTATTAAAGTGTTAAACATCCAATATGCATAGACAACTATCAGGAAGAATGGCTCACTCACCATCTATTTTATTGGAACTGTACACAACCGTGTTGGCCGCATGAGTATATCTGATGAGATCAACTCCATATTTTTTACTATAAAGTGTTCTCTTGGGCCTGCCAAAGGGGGAGAAAAAAATAATAATTATATTCAGAATAGAGAAATTCCATTTTGCCATACAGGTAGTCCTCGACTTAATAGCTACAACTGAGCCCCAAATTTTCATTGCTAATCAAGGCAATTGTTAACTGAGTTTTGCCCCATTTATGGTCTTCTTTGTCAATGCAGTTTTGAAGTGAAGCATGTGGTCATTAAACGAATCTGGCTTCCCCCCACTGACTGTGTTCTCAGAAGCTGGCTGAGAAGGTTACAAATAGTGATCACATGATCCCAGGACAGTGCAACCGTCGTAAATACATGCCAGATGCCAAGTGTCTGAATTTTGATCATGTGATAGGGGGGGATGATGCGATATTTATAAGTCTGAAATATGGCCAACAAGTCACTTTTTTCAGTGCTGTTGTAACTTCAAATGGTCGATCACTAAGCAAATGATTGTAAGTCAAGGACTAGCTATACACAATGTTAACTTGTAAGACAGAATAACTATAAGCATATATATTATATATCACTTCCAACTCTGTTATTCATAGTATCCAATCCCCTTTATTAGAATTACTTTTTTTTCCATTTCATTCAAAAGTGCCTTACATTGTAAAAGAACAAATAACTGGTACTGCATCAAAATTCAAAAGATACCCAAGGTCTATCTTAGTAGTTAGAAACAGCACTGCTGCTGTTGACAACCTGAATGTCATGGTTCTGACAGATGAAACTCTTCAAAGAACTTCCAGGCATTGTTTACCTTAAAGAATCTTAATTTGAGAAGCACAGCGGCACTAACACAGCCAAAACCAAAAACTGGCACAATTCCCTCCTCCAATTAACAGTCATAAATCACATTCTCCAATTAGTTTGAAATGCAGGCTCTCCCTGCAGTTCTCCAGCCCACCAATTGTATGATTGCATCTCTAACTGTTGTCAAAAGCGTTGACATTTTCATTATATTTCTACTGTGTGCAACTAAGATATGTTTACATTTAGTGATTTGGAGTTTCCTCAGCAAAACTACTTTTTGGTTAACATAAAAAAAAAGAAAACTATTAAAACATTAGATGACCAAGTCAAATCATACATTAGCACATATATAAATATATGTGCACCCTTTAGTCAGCTTGAACAAGACTCCAGAAGATAGGCTCAAGATACAGGAGGATCTTGATAGCACAGTCCCTGATACTCAAAAGGTTGGGGACCTCTGATATAGGTGCTACCTTACTCAGTAGTAGTAACTGTGAGAGGGATCTCGGAGTCTAGTGGACAATCACTTAAATATGAGCCAGCAGTGTGCTGCAGCTGCCAAAAAAGCCAACACAGTTCTAGGCTGCATTAACAGAGGGATAGAATCCAGATCACGTGAAGTATTAACGCCACTTTACAATGTCTTGGTAAGGCCACACTTGGAATACTGCATCCACTTTTGGTCACCACGATGTAAAAAAGATTTTGAGACTTTAGAAAGAGTACAGAGAAGAGCAACAAAGATGATTAGGGGACTGAACGGTTGCTGGAATTGGGTATGTCTAGTTTAATGAAGAGAAAGATTAGGGGTGACATGATAGCATGTTCCAATATCTCAGGGGTTGCCACAAAGAAGAGGGACCAAGTTATTCTCCAAAGCACCTGAAGGCAGGACAAGAAGCAACGGGTGGAAACTAACCAAAGAGAGAAGCAACCTAGAACTAAGGAGAAATTTCCTGATAGTTAGAACAATTAATCAGTGGAACAACTTGCCTCCAGAAGCTATGAATGCTCCAACACTGGAAGTTTTTAAGAAGAGATCGGACAACCATTTGTCTGAAATGGGATAGGGTTTCCTGCCTGAGCAGGGGGTTGACTAGAAGACCTCCAGGGTCCCTTCCAACATTCTTCTTATTATTATTATTATTATTGTTGTTGTTGTTATTGTTATTATTTCAGTTAATAGCAGTGTTGTAATTTTGCAAGATGACTGTTAGCAATTTTTAACCATTAAGTCAAGTTGATCAGTTGGCCCAAAAATTATGAGCATCACAATTAAGGGAAAATTTAAATTTAGTCCTTTCATCTCAAAAACTCCAAGTTTAAGTCCAAGTAATACTTTGCAAGGCATGGGGGTGCTACAGACACAAAATGAAAGAATTATGTTGTTTTTGATTATTAGCTTTCAGCAAATAGCAGAAAAACTGGAAGCACCCCTCTTTTTAACCTAAATATTTAGGGAACTATATCAAGCTCTTTGATATAGTCTAACTTGGAAAATGCTAGTCACTTTAATGATAACATTTCATGAAACATTTAAATTTGAAATAAAATCCAGGACTAATTGTATTTTATTTCTAAACATACTGGTAATACTATTATTGAATTATAATCTCTGTTGCCCCGCTTTGAGGGAGATGAGCTGTTTAGAAATAAGAAATATAAATAAATCAGGATGCAATTTTAACTAAAAACGAATTAATGAAATCTCTTGTGCTACACTTAGGGGGAAACACTATACTATAATGAAATATAAGGATGTGTTATCACCACTATACATAGAAAGCAAAAATAAAAGATCCGTTTGCTCTCTTGGAAATTATGCCTTCACCCAAAACAATCAATAGGGGATCCAATAGGATCCTGATAATTATGTAAAGTCTGTTTTATAAAGAGCTAATTTAATAAGTTCACAAGGGTTTTTTCCTTTGCTATTTCACTTAAATAAATTATAAAAAGTGATATAATCTTAAGAATAATCTGAAAATGTTTCCTATAAATTGATTCAGAAAAAAGAAAATCTGTAATGAGGAATACTAAAAACAACTGAGGTGTTGATTTTTTTAAAAGAAAAACAAACATATCTGACAAAGAAGTATGAATATGCACAGAACTGAAGGAAAAGAGAATTACTCTGGAAACACAAACCAGCTGAGATTCCACTATATATTCATTTTTAAAATACAATACTAGAAAAGTGCAAACATTTGAGAATCTAAAACATACTTTTTCAACTAGACTCAATTTATTCAAAATATAAGTTAAATAATCATCAAAGAGGCTTCCAAAATATCCATGCAGAATTAACAAACAGAGGTTAAATAAAGATGATTAAAACCTAAGAACGTAACAACAGTGATAATGAAGAGGGATAACAATGTGATTAGTATTGATACTATGTTTGCACAAGGTTTCAGTTCTAAGATGGTATTTATGTATTTATTTATGAGGCAAAAATGCCTGCTTGTCTTAAGAGCAATAACTGTGGGCAGTTCACTCCAACAGCAATAAAAAGATAAAAAAGAAGCAATGAAAACCAGAATCCACAAAACAGCTCTTTGGCACCCTAAGCAGTCCTCCCTAATACACAAACAGTCAGAATCCCAGGGCTCCAGCCTTACCTCATCACAATGCTTGGGAGAAAAGCCAGTTTTTTAAAGCTTTTTCGAAGGTCAAAGTGATAGGAACTGTGTGGATCTTAGTGCCTGGCAAGAAATATTTGTTCCTGTTACCAGAAAAGTAGCTGAAGTGAAGCTATTTTTCTTGGCTGAAAGGTGAAAAACAGATCTTTTTCTCTGCAAGCTATCCAAAATCCCATTTAAGAGTATAAGCTGGTGCAGATAAAACAACTACCACATCCCACCACTCCCATTATTCTAGATTTTAAGCCATCTAAATTAATAAAAAGGTCATGAAATCTTGAAAGTTAACCTATAAAAGATTTCTGGATATTTTCCCCAATATTCAACTGGTCTGCTTTTTGTTATATATGTTAAAATGCATTCAACCTAATTAGCAATAACATTTACTTGAGAGGATGCAGTACCTATCTAAATAAGAATTAGCAGTTGATTACAAGTTTGAAGATTTAACAAATTTGTTTATTCTTACTTAAGAAACTCAGAAGGTCAGTCTCAAGCTCAAAAACTGAAGAATGCCTGGCAAGCCGTGAAAGTCAAATACTTTACTGACAGATAAAGTTTTGGATTTGGGACAAGATAACACATAGTTTACAGCAAATGTAAACTGTATGTCTAATTATAAGAAACAGACTATATCTATCTCCAACTTCACTAGCCACTTCTACTAAAATGAAACTGCATTTGCAATAATGATCCCCAAATCATTGAGTTCCCAGATATACAGAAAAATAAATATAGGACAGTTCTTGAGGTAATTACAGCCACAATTTCATTTCTATTGGTTTACAGTAGTGAAAGTATGGTCACTTAGCAAATAAGTAATTGCCTGGTGTAATTACTAAATTAGCTAAGCTCATAAAGAAGAATATTTGTAGCTCAGGGTTGAAATAAGGGGACCTTGGTGCTTTCTGAGCTTGGCTGTTTTCTGGCAGACATTTCCTTACCCAAACTGGGATAGCAAAAGACTAGCAAAACGCATCCATCAACTCCAAAAACACAACCTATGAACAGACTTAACCATAGTTTCAACTGGGAAACTGTGACTATCCTAGCCCAAGCCAAGTCCAGAAATGCTAGAGCAGTGGTTCTCAACCTTTTTAATGCCGTGACCCCAACTGGTCGTAAGTCGAGGACTAAACCGGTCGTAAGTCGAGGACTAAACCGGTCGTAAGTCGACTACCCAACCGGTCGTAAGTAGGGGACTTTCCCTGCCCGGGAGCGCCGCACATGCGTGGTTCCGCCCCCTGCACCGGCCGAGGCGTAGCTGGCAAGCGGCAGAGACGGAGCAGGCCGACCACCAGCTGGCCCAGCCCAAGGGAGGTAAGGCACCTGCCGGAAAAGGGGAAAAAAATGGCGGACAGCCTTGCTTGACGACCCCTGTGAAATGGTTGATCGACCCCAAATGGGGTCGCGACCCATAGGTTGAGAACCGCTGTGCTAGAGAATTCCTGGAACTTGGCTCTCTGAAACATTGGCCATCACAGGCACATAGAAATAGACAACATCTACACATCATTCAAAAGAGACAAGGCAAAAATGACCAGAACACAACCTCATTAGTAACCAACATCCAGATGAGAATAGATTTAACATCAGATCTGCAATCAAGAAGT